ATAATATATACTTAATGCTTACTCAGTGAATTAATGATACATGTAAATTACCTAGCCTGGAGAACATGGCCAACAATGTTCTACTTTAGCATGCATCTATGGCTTTTAAGCTTACAAATAAAAATAAATTAAACATAAAGAGGAACTTATCTAAGGTACCACTAATAATCTACCAATTGTACATCTTTGCTGGGAGCCACACTTTAGTCTAATATTTAATAAATCTTGCAGAAGGCACTCTCTTTAAAGGATTGCAGGGACTATATGAATGGTCATTAATGCTATGTTGGAATTCACCCTAAATCACCACAGCCTATATATGTATATGTAAAAACATATCATATCATGTATGCATACATACATACTGCATTAATGGGAATTTTTGGACTAAATTTCTAAAACTGCAAATCTTCCTATTAGATCTGAATTCAACATAACCTCCTGTACAATTATGTTCAATCACAAATGGCATTCAAGTAGAAATGCACCGTGCCCTGTAGACTAATTCAGCTGCTGTACTATGGCCACATAACGCTAACATCTGAGAATGAAAACCTTCAAACTGGTTGCTTTCATGTTCCGTCCACCCAACATCTTTTCCTCTCAAATATTGTCTAGAATCCCCTATATTTCTTAGGTACATGTTTGAGTCCCACATTGAAATAGCTGTTGGGAGGGCATATGTTCTATCTTATCCAGTCTTGTATTTGTCAGAGCCTACGGCAACTCTTTCATAGAGATGTATACATGCACCCACGCACGGGCACCCATGTGTCTTCACTGCTTTCAACTGCTAGAGTCTTCTTCTTCTGAATTGGACCGTATTTTCTACTCACTGAGGAAATATGTTTGGAGGGATTTCATTAACTTGTGTAGATCGAAGTTTGTCAAGAATGGGTAGCTTTACTTTAGTAATGGCAGGTGTCTGACTGTATTTGAACATTTATATTATCCCTTTAAGTCAAAACAAAAGTAAGGGCATGGAAAGTAGCATTTCATATTGTCTTTAATTTGAATAAAAAACAATTGATTTTTTTAGTTTATGACCTGTGTGATGCAATTACAGCTTTATTATTTATAGCTGACATTAAGACTGGCTCTCAAAACCATAACTTGTTTTTTGAGGTCATACAATGATTACATTCTAAAATATTGTCAATAACATAGATCTTCAGCCAAAAAAACAGTTGGAACAGTTACAAAACAACAATAAAAATTCTCCACTCTGATATTAAGAGATAGTAATGATATTAACAATTTCTGGTCTTCCTTTACCTTTCCATTAGTTCAGATAATTCTACCAAAACATCGTAAGTTCTAGTAGTCAATTTGAGTATGTTGAAATAATAGCAAGAATAAGTTATTTCCTATAAATATAACTTGCCTAAGTATGATCAGAAAAGTTTTAGGAATAAGAAATTTTGTTTGATCACTTTTCCTTCATTTTAATGAGTGTGGAAATATTAAACAATAAAACTTATTTGAATGTTTCTGTAAATACTCACTACAATTTTTGAAATTTCTATTTTTGTACAATCATGAATAACATTAGAATGATATTATTTGGATTTCCTCAATTTAATTCTCGAGGCTGCTGGCTTTAAGTGCAACTCTAGTGATTACTTTGATTTCTTTCATTCATTCATACTTTGGGGCTAAGGACCAGATGTTTCTGTTGTAACGAGTGATAAACAGCCACAACTCTCAGCTCTGACATCACAATAAATACCTAGTACATTACTTTCCACACAATTTATGAAAAATAAATTACTGAACAGATAGGACTGACCTTCAAAACATTGAACAAACACAATCTTCCCTAAGCACAATCCCTTGTATCACATATGATTTGTGAGTTACATAGGAATATGATTTCCTATATACATAGTCTGTGGTGAAGCCAGGAGTGGAAACCCTGAGTGTGTCACTTATAAACTATGTGGCCTGGGGCAGGGTATTTATAATGTTCATTTTCCCATCAATTAAATGGAGATAATGGGATTGCTGTAAGGATAAAGTGAGTTAAACATGTAAAACATCCAGAAAAACATTTCACCCTTTAATTAATTTTAGCTATTATATTATTACTTGATAGATAAACCTCATTCAGTCAACTCCCTCTGAAACTTCTATTTTCTATTTGGGAGAAGGTATGATTCATTTAGATATCATACAGGAGGGCCCTTTCTGATCTATTATTTTTGATGATACTCAAAATTATGAGTTCTCCTAGTGGGCTGTTTTTTTGTGTGTTATTTATCTCAGTTCATGAGCATATGTTAACTACTCAGTGTCGAAAGAGAGAATCACAAGTTGATCAGAGCCCTGCAAATTGGCACACAATTCTACTTTAAACTTTTCACAATCTTAGGTGTGAGAAGGAAATACTAGCTCATTGCTTTTTCTCCATGACCCATAAGTAGGTGTTTATAACAAGAAGAAAAACATAACATGTAGAAGGAGAAGCTATTATATAAATCTATAAAAACTTCTATATTTAGCAACATTTAATAGGGCACTATGGGGGAAGAGAGAAGACATGTCTGATTTTCGGCACTGCATATTTTTTTGGGTGGTGGGGGAGGGTGAGAGGTGGTTATGTAACTTAGGAGTTGTTATATAATCAATACTATGCACAAGGAAGTTTTCATAAATTGATTCTCCTTGACATAATCAACAACAAAAATCCTCCACTGCTTTAAGAAAGGTACAAAAATGTTTTCGAGCTTCATTCATGTTTTCAAAGTATTATTCTGTTTGAAATCAATGGCTTCAATTTCTGTTTTCCTAATGGAACTTAACATTTGTATTTTTCTCCTTTGATTCCTGAACAGGTATTTCAAGTATAGCTTGCCTTGCTTCCTTGATTGCCCAAGGCTCCCTTGCAGATGCAATAGCCACAGGTACTTCCAGGCCTCAGGGGATATAAGAGGATGAAAATTGTGTGGATGCTGTGCCAAATCTCCTAGTTCTCAGAAATTAGTCACAATCAAGAAGAAATGACACACTCCATGATGTAGCCGTCTACTCGTAGGCAATGAGCACAGGCTTTGAGTTAGACTGCCTTAGCTTTCAAATCCCTTCTCTGGTTTTTACTAGCTCTGTGACTTTTGGCAAGTTAACTGTGTGACTCTGGCAAGCCCTTTTCTGAGCTCGGTTGCCTCGTCTATCAAATGGGGTTAACTACCACGTCTCCCTTATAGAGCTAAAGAAAGGAGTATAGTGCTGGAGAAAGAAAGTCTGTGTAAAGGAGCAATACATACACAGCTAGCGAAAGAGCTTCTGGTGCATTTAAATATGGGGATTAGTTGGAAGTTGACGGAGAAGTTTGCATTTTCCTCCATTTTCAACTCCCTGCCTTTACTCCTACATTTCGCTGTGCTGTGCTACCTCAGGGAATGCAGCCTTAGGCATTAAAATAGGAAATAGTGAAATAGGGCAGGACAAATCTCACAGCAGAAATAAACTGTAAATTTGCATGGAAAAACAGTGTAAGTTAAAAATCAAGGGTGGGGAAAAAATACAGAGAGGGAGAAAGAAACAGAAAAAATTCATCTGACACCTGATAGTATAATCTAAGCTGCCTTTGTTATGTCCCATTTGAGGCAGTCCATGTGACTGGCTCATCATCGTCTCAAGGAAAACTCATTCTTTGTGTGTATACTGTGTGAGTTTTCTTTACCATAAAATAAGACCACGATTAATAAGGAAACAAATTGAGTTTGATCATTTAACCATCATGCACGGAATGGTATGTCTCATTAGAGGTACAACGTCACTGTTGTGGAGCTGTCATTTTTATATTACTCTCTATGACCAAGCATAAAATGAATACACTATTAACTATAGCTTATTTTTCAGCATTAATCTGCTAGAGCTCTAACTTTAAAATATTTTTCACCTATTTTATTTTGAATTGAACTACATCCATACAAAAGTGTTTTTTCTCTACATTCTTTTTTTTTTAGATTGGCACCTGCGCTAACATCTGTTGCCAATCTTTTTTTTTTTTTTTATTCTCCCCAAAGTGCCCCAGTACATAGTTGTATATTCTAGTTGTGAGTGTCTCTGGCTGTGCCATGTGGGACATCATCTCAACATGGCCTGACGAGCTGTGCCATTTCTGCGCCCAGGATCTGAACCGGCGAAACCCTGGCTCGCCGAAGCGGAGCACACAAACTTAACCACTCGGCCATGGGGCTGGCCCCTCTGCATTCTTTTAGTAGAGAAATTGCTCTAAATCTTTATGAGCAGTATGCTGATTTACATGTTTTATGAAATTTAGTGACTCTCTCTTCCACATTAGAAAATATATCATCTTTGATCAAATTCTGAACTTTAACATCACGTGGCATGAGACTGAAAGAACCCATGGTTTCCAAGAGCAGAATACAGTAAAATCCATCAGTTTCGTGAGATCAGGATATCAGACCTGGAAGTCTCCTCAACAATCTTCTAAAATAGAAAAGGTATACTTCTTTTAATTGTGAGAGTTCTCTTGAAATGGTTTTACATTTTAACTCTTTTTTTTAAATAAATACTTTGCTGGGGTGAAGTGAGAACCAATGTCAAGCCACTCCTTCCTAGTGCCCCATAATCAAAGCTCATCCTCCCTCAAAGCTCTCCTCGTGCCGTCTCCAGCCTCTGCAGTGTTGCCCTCCTGCCCCAATACAACAGTTTGAGGTTTGAAACTCACTGCTGAAACCCAGCCCTTCTCTTTAAAGTCAAAAAAAAAAAAAAAAAAAAAAAAAAGGCAAGAGGGAATAAGATCATTTTCTAAGGCAACATAGTGATTTAGTAGTGGACACTATAATTTAGGTTCCCTGTCTTCCTGTTTTGAATTTTGTAGTATATTCTCCTTGACTTTAAGTAACAGACTATGAATTGGTATCTGCTTAAAGTCTTCCTCAAATTTTTAAATGCTTACGTTTTTATGAGTATACTGGAGATAAGACACCGAACTATGCAATAATTCCAAGCAGAAGCAGCTTTATACTTACTCTTGTGTTGTTTCTTTCAGCTTTAAGTTCAGAAATTTCTTCTTCCTTTTCTAGAAGTTGTTCCCTGCAGGCATTTAATTCTTTTGTCAGTGCAGCAAATTCCTGAAAGGGGAATAAAAATGTTTGAAGACACATTCCAGATATAAAAAATGTATTCCAGCAGGAATAGAAATAATTCAAAATACAAACTTTTGAATGTAAAGAATGGAAAAAATACCTGATCAAGTGATCAATATGTATATACATTGCTATTATTAAATTATCTTGATTACAATGTTCAGGAAATGCTAAGCTATGATATTTAAAGTACATGTTTTATTAGAATATGCTGCTTATATGACTGCATATAACATTTTTCAAAATGTATCAGATATATTATACTGAACTTAACATTAGTATGAAAACATATTGATAACATAGGATGATTAAAATTTGGCTAACTTTGTGAACAACTCCAAAAATATTACACTTTCATTCCTATACAGCAATGTTCAGAGTGAATATACTACATCGTCACCAAAAAAGTAAACAGGAGCCAGCCCTGTGGCATAGTGGTTGAGTACAGCGCGCTCCGCTTCAGTGGCCCAGGATCGTGGGTTCGGATCCTGAGCATGGACCTATCCCACTCATCAGTCATGCTGCAGTGGCGACCCACATATAAAGTAGAGAAAGGTTGGCACAGATGTTAGCTCAGAGCTAATCTTCATCAAGCAAAAAAAGAGGAAGATTGGCAACAGATGTCAGCTCAGGGCAACTCTTCCTCAGAAAAACAAACAAACAAAGAACACCACCAGCACCACCAACAACCACCAAAAACAACCCTGCTAAATATGATATTAGCGATTAAGAAGTTTATTTATTTGTTAACAAGATGAAGAAAGAGACTGTACTTGTCTCTTACAAAATAATAAGTGTATCTAAGACTTGATAACATCATCCAAGATTCTCTTGTTAATTTATGCATCACATACTCTTTCCCTCTGAAATGTAAGCTCCACATGAACTGGGACTTCATCTGACTTCACTGCTATACTCCCAGTGTCTAAGATATAGTGGATGCTCAATTAGCACTTCTTTTCGTTAAATGAAAATGGGAAATGTGGTTAAAAAATAACTGGGGGTTCTGGAGTAATCCTCTCTTCATGTGACAATGACATTTTGGAGGAATCTTGAATGGCTTCTTTCCCCAAAATGGGATCAGAGATTATATGATATGTGAATTTTTACCACTAGACAGAGAGTTTAGACACAATAAAAATTACTTAAAAAGAAGATCAGGAAACCTAATTCAACTATTCTGCTACTCCAACCTATGAACAAATGTTATTTTAGAATAATTTTGGAAAACAGTAAACATCCATTTTATTATTAAATCATTTAGAGTGATTCTCGGTAATAAAATTGGTACTTAAATATTTAAGTATTTGGAAAAACTTAGCTCCAAGCTGAGAAGGCACTGCCAGAAGGTTAAAAAGAAAAACAAAAATCAACCAGACAGGTTTGGTTAACCTAACATCCACAAAGGCAAATGTAGTAAAAAGTAAATGAAGATGATGATTATGCAAAGCTGGGAAAGGTTGAGGGTTTATATTTTTGTTTGCTTCAAACCAGTTATTTTGCTGAGTTTCTGTGCATGGCTTCAGCCCAAGTGGGCACTTCAAAGACCTCAGAATAGACTTAGAGCTTTGAATCAAGATGAAAGAGTTCATTGTTACATTTTGGCCTGCATTACAGATAAATGTTTCCTCCCCTGATTGCTGCCTGCTTAAATGTTGTTGATACCCTTTGAGTATATTATCCAAATAGAGAATGGAAATAAGAAACAATGTGAAAATAATAAACACTGCCATAAAAAATGAAACTTTCTTCATATAACCTGCATAGTTTTGATGGAGAAAAGAAGAAAGTGACAAAGATTCTGCACCGTGTATTAACATATAGGCATTTAAAAGTAATCCTACATTCATGAATACTGTAAGACAAAAAATAAATCAAATCTTTGCATTTAACATCATACCAATTAAAAAATATATATATATCTGGTCTATCTTTCTAGAGATTTAGCCTGCTATCTACAGAAAGAAAAAAGATCAGAGGGAAATATTTCAGAATTTTAACATTAGATATCTCCAAGTGGTGAAATTATGACTGAATTTTGTTTTTTGGCTTCCTCCTACCTATTTCTATCATCATAACTCTCTACAATGGAGAAATATCCTTTTATGCTTAGAGAATAAGAGAAACTATAAATGTATAAGTGCACTGAAATAATCAGGTATTCAAAACTGAGGACAGAAATTAGTCAAGATGTTATTGGCGACAGATGACTTTGCATTTTTTATTTATTATCATTGAACTGATTCTGAAAAAGCTATTTAGTGACTCCATATATTAAGATTAGACTTACATTTATTAACTTCTTAACAAATTTCAGGCACTACTTTTACATTCATTATCTCATCTTACTCTCTAAATAACCAGCAGAGGAGTCTCAGTCCCGTTTTACGGCTGAGGAAACTGAATTACTAAGACATAAGCACAAATGCACCGAGCTCACAGCCCGTGGAGAATGAGTGGGGCTGTGAAGGTAGCTCTCCAGACAGCTTGTCTAGTGCTTTTCCACTATACCATCCTGACTCTAGCTGTTCATCGGGTTGATAGGATTCAGATTTGGAGTGTATTTAACAGTCTTCTTTTTCCTGATCTGAAGAATTAGATAACCATTACTTACAATTTCTTTGCATGATCCTTCTTAATTAGTCCAAAGGGAGTGTGAGGAACTGGGAGGCTCACGGCAGAGTATTCCTTGCGTGTGGAGCAACAAGGCCTAGCCAAGCACGTCCCACATACCTGGGAGTGCAGTAGATGAGGATGCCTCATGTCCAGTGAATCGTCAATGTTTTCACACTTCCCTCTGACAGTTCTCTCTTCTGCGCCTACTTCTCTGCCCCTACCATCAACGTGAACTGAGTCTTATGTCACCTTTTCTAAGTTAATAACAGCAAATATGATTAACATTGCTTGAGCCCTTACAATATGCCAGACACTTGCCAAACAATTTATATTGATTATCTCAGGAAACCTAATAAAACCCTGCAACGAGATACTAAAATCTCACTAAACAAAATGAAACACTGTTACCGTACAATTCAGGAATTTCATTCCTTGGTATTTACCGAAAGTAGCTGAAAACTATGTCATCATAAACACCTGCGCATAAATGTTCATTGCGGTTTTATTCATAATTGCCAAAACGTGGAAGCAACCAAGATGCCCTTCAGTAGGTAAATGGGTAAACAAACTGTGGTCCATCCAGACAACGGAATATTATTCAGTGCTAAAAAGAAATGAGCTACCCAGTCGGGAAAATACACAGAGGAACCTGAAATGCATGTTACTAAGTGAAATAAGCCAATACGAAAAGGCTACATATTGTATGATTCCAATTATATGACATTCTAGAGAAGCCAAAACTATGGAAACAGTAAAAAGATCAATGGTTGCCAGGAGTGTTGGAAGAGGGAGGGAACGAATGGGCTGAGCAGAGAATTTTTAGGGCAGTAAGGAGTAATGTTGAATACATGTCGTTATACATTTGTCCAAACCCATAGAACGTACAACACCAAGAGTGAACTGTAAGAGAATCTATGGCTTTGGGTGATAATGATGTATCAATGTAGGCTCATCAGTTGTAATAGATGTACACTGCAGCAGGAGATGTTGATAATAGTGGAGGCTGTGCATGCGTGGGGGCAGAGGGTATATAGGAAATCATTGTACCTCCCTCTCAACTTTGCCGTGAACCTAAAACTGTTCTAAGTATATAAAATCTTAAAAGAAAATCTCACTGAGGCCTAGAGAAATGAAGAAATTCACCTAAAATTAGACACTCCGTCAATGGTATAGTTGGGCTTTGAACCCAGACAATCTATTTCATACCGGATGATGACAATAGGTTGATTTTTCGCTCCTGACCACAGGCTTTCCCCTTTTAATTTGTCCTTCTTTCAGTCTTTGTAAAATTTATATCTTTCCCAAGCTCACAAAAATTTTCAGAGCTCCCCATTTTCAAACACGTCAAATTTAAACAGACTTTAACTCTTAAAATTCAAACCATACAAAATGTGGTCTTCCATAATTAATTAGCTTTATTTCTCATTGAACAGTAGTAACTACCCTTTTGAGCAGGAGCTGCTTCTCTCTGCCATGAGCTGAGCATTTTACACAAATTACTTCATCTCTTCCTTATTTTTCAGATGAGGATACTGAAGCGTAGTATGAATGAATAACTTCCTCAAGGTCACATAGCTAAAAATAATCCACCCTGATTCCAACTCTTTAATTTCTGCCACACTGCCTCCTTCTGGATGAAAATGAAAAATCATAACATTTCTTGACAGTACCAATTGATAAAAATTTGTCATCCCTCTCACTATCCATCCATCCATACAATATTTATTGAGAACCTGCTATATGTCAGAGCCTATGCTAGGTGCTGAAGATATAGAGATAACTTAGACCTAGTTGTTGCACTTGACCACATAGATCTTTCAATTTCACATCTGAGACACGTCAAGGATTTCCATCACTAAGAAGCACTCAAAACATATCATCAGAGCGCCACACACAGAGTAACATTAGTTTACACACTTAGAGACATTGTAGATTTACAGGTGACTCTGACTCTCTAAGGCTTTCTTCTTAGAAGGTCTGTCTTCTGCATCTGCCACAGGTTTCTCCTTCCTGTTTCTATTTCCATCTTTTCATATTCTCATCTCTCTTCCTTTCTATTTCCTTCACATACTATCTGCTATTTGGAATATCCTCCCCATCATCTCTGCCTAAACTAATTTATTTTTAAAGCACCAGCTTGCCTGGTTAATGCTCTGTAGTACCTTATTCAAAATCTATCAATGCATTTACTGTAAATTTTATAATTAATTGAATTATGTGTTTGTCTCCCCCAAGTAAACAGTGTGATCCTTTAATGCAAAGTTGTTATCATGTTTATTTTTATATCCTCAGGATTTAGCATAGTTCCTGACAAATTGTAAACACTCATTAAATCCTTGTCACAATAAATGAATGTTTCACTTTCCTTA